CCTAAAAGGTCCATGGCCAAAAAAAGGTTGAGAAAGGTTGCCCAGAATCCTCAGCAGCATGCCAGCAGCAGCAGTTTCCACAGTAAAGATGCAGTAGTTCTTCAGCAGATGCACGGTCAGTGTGGAGAATGTGGAAATGGCTAGTTGGGTTGCACAGTTCCTCCAAGATTTTCTGTGTTCCTTTCTTGTTCTTCTTGAGTTCTTGGCATGAACTTCCTGTCCATCTGCTTCACATCCTTCCATTCATCAGCCAACAAGGCTTGGGGCAGCCTTAGAGCATGGGTGCAGTAGTGGGGGGGGGGATATCCACACTCTACCTGTACTTTCCTCTGACAGGAAGGACTGGATATAGATATGGTTAAACCTGATAAGGTGCTTGCGGCCCTCCAGCTGATGAAAATGACACGTCCCATCATTCCTGAGTCTTGCCAGGTCGGGAATCCAGTGCAGTCTGGAAGACCGCCGTTTTCTCCTCCTGCAGTGAACCGAGGGCTTTTAGTCCTTAAAGAGACAGTTGAGCTTCAGGAGCTGCCCTCCCCTCACCACGGATGGGTGCTAATGTTTTGCCAAAGGGTTTCAATTCCATCTGTTCTGTGCTTGCGTCTGCCACCGATGAGCTCCTTGTACTGGGAACTCGAGTAGCTTCCTTTCCTTCAGGCCTTAACCAGTCATGGTTCAAGATGGTTCTTGGGGCGGTTGGTGGAAACAAGTCCTTAGCTAAATTTAGAGCCAAATCCGGTGCATGTTTTATCAACAGTAGGTTTCTCTGGCTTCAGTGGGGCTCGCTCCCATGTAAGTGCACATGGGATTACAGCCTTAATCCCTGGAACCAAGTGGGGTGGCTTTCACCCCACAGCCTCTGCTTTGTGTTCTTCTTCCAGTCTCCTCATAGCCCTGCTTGGAGAAGAGGCTAACTGACACTTAGAAGTAGATTTACCTCCGTGGGGGAACACCAGCGTTCAGCCTTGAAAGGTCAGCCTGATGTAGGCGCTTCAGGTTGGAATTCAGTTGCACACTCGACGGCCTAACATTCCATGTCATGTGCAAGCTTCTGTTGGGACAATGCAGGACACCTTCCTGGTAGGCTGTTTCTATGAGTCCATTTAAAGGCCCCTTGCATTAGTTCAAGGGTGGGCAATCTTAGCAGGACTGAGGGCCATTTTTCAATTTTGCCAGCATCCTGAGGACCAAATTTCCTGAGGGGGTGGGGCTTAATTTGCATGTTTTCTTAAAAGTTTTTTTAATGCAGTGATTATGTACTGTACACTAGGATGGTTCGATGAGTTTTTGTTAACCAAAAAAAATGGTTTAACTAAAAAAAATCAAAACAGCGAAATAGCTTAGAGGGCACAAGGGCACTTTTTGAGTAGATTTTTTAAAACAGTTTTAAATTTTGTGAGGTGGCAGGGGTGAGGATGGCATTGGGTACTGCCACGCCCCAGCCCTGCACTAATTGGTCAGCAGAAATCAATTAATTTCTAAAGGATAATTCCAGCCATCAATCCCAAGTAAAGTAGAGCTATTTAATGGATGGCACTTGTTAAATCAGCACTTGTGTAATTCCCATTGGTTCACTGGGTCTACTTTACATAGGTGGATTTGGCACTTTGTTTTGAACTGCTGCCTTTCAGTGTGCGAGGATACCGCCATTTAAAATGAGATGACACATCGTGGTGTTTGTGGATAAATACCAAACCCTTGCTAACGTCAGCCTGATTGTTGGTATGGCTCTAGAAGAACTGCACAAATGAGTTGTTGTAAAGCATAGTTCTCTATTCCAGATAAATTTTGTTTAGTCAAAGCGTACTTGCTCTCTGTTAATTGAAGTGTTCAGTTTTTCCATCATAAACTGGTGAGAAATAAAATTTTAAAAGTGGATCTTGATGACGTCATGCCATATATGCTGCTGTCAGGAAAACCAACATGCTTCAAGAAATTATAAAATGCATGCCGTTAAGTTTTAAAACTTAAAAGAATTCCCTGCCTCATGACTCCCCTAACCCAATGATCTTCTGAAGGTAAGAAAAATAGGTATGTAAACTTCACTCTTCTTTAGAACAAATTTGAAGGAGGATTTTTAAAATGTTGAGGAAATTAGGTAACACCCGTCTACCGCTGCCACCGATCTTAGTGGCAGGATATCCTAGGAGGGCTTTGCATTTTGGCTTTTTATTCCATTTGCTATCCGCACTGCAGTTGTCACCCAGCAGACATTCAACTTGCATAGTTTCCTGTGATTTCAAACTTGAGCCAGACAATCACACCAAAAGACATCAGTTTGAATTTCAGCCCCCTGGTTGTATCTGAGATCCGTTAGCATGCCGGGGCAAAGCCCTGCATGCTGAAATTTCAGTATTAACACAGAACGTACTAGTGGGATGCTGCTCACAGCTATCATCCTGTACCATTTCCACCCCTGAGGTGGCTACGCTCTTGTTGAAGATAACAGATTAATGCAGGCCCAACAGCATACTGGGCTAAAATGTTTCCTAGCTCAGCCTTTGCGCTGACTAAGAAATGCTGTCAATAATGCCAGGCTGTGATTTCTAAAGGGGACCTGATCTTTCCACAAGATGTGCTGCATGTTTTACCTTCTAAATTAATTGTTCATTCTGCGTTCCAATTTTGAAACCTTTTTGCTATGGAAACTGAGTGTGCCACTCAGTGCAAGGGTGAGACTGTCCCACCCACCTTCCAAAAAGTATAGTGGGGTAAAGCTGTGACTATAACTTTGTGATGTCAAGTGGGAATTTTTGACTTCCAGGGCTTTGCAAGGCAGCGTAAGGGCATTGTCAATGGAAAAGAATTAAAAACTTGCATATAATTTGTTATGTTTGAGGTTTACTCATCAAGTAAATAATTTTAAATGCCAGTTCCCATTGATTTGGACCAACTATTTTGTATTTTACTAAGTGGTTGGCCAAAATAGGAAGTAGATGTTATCGTTTCCATCATATTGGTGTAATTAAAATAGTTAGAGGGTTCCCTTTTGGTGTGCGTTTTGAATGAAAGCAGAATAGGAGTTTGAAGACTCTCCTCATCTGAACCTCCCCACTTCTCCTGGGGCCAAGATCCCTTGACAGTTGTATAATAAACAATGGTCCTCTTAAGTCCTCATCAGGAAGTCTAGGTGGCACCTGCATACTTGTGGTATGATGGCTCTTTTGTATCTTGCGGAGAGGTGTTGTTCGAAGAAAGTAAAACCCAAAGATGATGCTCTAATGGCGGACGCAGCCTGTTAACACCTGCTGAGGCACAAGATCTGCTGCAATAAACTGCATAAGGTCTACTTCTGCTCTTCTTCCTCGTGCTATTTTGGATCCAACCACAATCTTTAACATGTCAACAAATCCTCCTAGATCAGTTTTGTTTGGAAGGCTGGGCTAAATAAGTCGCTGGTTCCCATCAGGTGGCAGCCTATTGTATTTGGATCAGGCAGCAGGGAATCTATCTGGGAAGGTTGCTGTGACCTGTTCTCTCACCAAGTTGAGTTTTGAGAGGAATGGCTGTTGAACCGCAATGGAAAACTATTGCTACCTCTGCATTTCCTCTGACACTCCAGTAGAATATGATTCTATCTTTCCTTTTGGTTGCTTGTTTTT